TATATTCTGACAGTAGAACATGAGCATGCTTGGATGATAAAATAAACACACCATAATCTAACCTAGTAAAGGCTTTGCCTCATTGGTAATATATTCATAACTGCATTAAATTAGCCATGAAAGTAATAGATTAATTAATGCAGTGGTTCCCAACCTTGAGGTTGGGACCCTCACTACGGGTTGCCAAAGCTTCATAGGGAGTCAAGGGGAGTAAAAAAACTTAAAAAATATACACAGTAGGCCTGTATCTCTGCATTTGGTACAGTTCTGTGAAGAAAAGTAAATGTAAGGTAAATTAAAAAGTTATTTTCAGTTTAGATTATAATTTAAGGTATAAATTTATATAAACTGGTATATACTGAAGACCTGAACACAAGCTATATTCACAGAGCCTTCACTCTCTGAAAAACAGCCTCATTCTGCAAACAAAAAGCCTAATAAGTATGTATGATTGTTACAAATTATTTAAAAGAAAATAATTGTATAAAAAGTTCCCTAAACACAAAATAATTTGATCAAAATGTACCCAAATCTCTTGTTTTAAACAAACTTGGGGCTGTTACTGAATTCAGCACTGTATTAATGTTGCTGTATACTCCAAACACTCATATGTTCAAAAGAATTGACCATTTACAGCAAATGGCTGTACTGTTAGATTTGGTGGAAGAGGCACTGCTGTTTGAGGGAGTTCTCAAAGAATCCGGGCAACAAGGATTTTGTTGAAATCCAACATACATGAAAAATGAAAATAATGTAGGTAATCAGGAGGTGGGGGGTAACATTGACATGTGTCATGTTCTGATTCGACATTACTAGCTACCTGGGAGCCAATCCCCTGATGGTGGCACATGAATGAAGAAGCTGTTAACATACTGGACTGTAACTTCATTGCCTGAACTATATCCTACTTCTTTTCCTTCTGTTAAGTATTGCTTCTATGATGGATTGCTATCAATGCTAATTATGTGTCTTTGTGTGTCTCTTCACCTGTTGACCTGCCAGGGACAGCGTTAATGGGAACAACATGCAGCGAGCCCTGCAGTAATGACTCTTTGTCAGATATAGTAAGTTACCTCTCTTTTCCAGCTTTATGTCATTTGTGTGATCAGGGAATAGTTCTGCATCTCTTCACCACACTGGGTTTGTTCAACAGCCAGCAGCAGCCATCTGCAGTAATGATGTGTTGTGTGCTCTGAGAGTCACAAACCTTCCACCCACAGTTTTTCCAGGAGGTCCAAGAGCAAAGTTTGTAGTGATATCAGAAAAGGTTTAACCATTATTATGTGCTTTCCCCGCAACAAAATGGCATCAACACATTGATTGATCTCCATTGCACTCCACTAGTTAATTTTTTATGACATTTTTTTTAACCAAAATGCCAAACATTAACTAGTTCTAGCTCCTCAATGTGAATAGCTGATGCTTTTGAATGATGCAAGGATATACCAGTAATCAGAGTTCATTATATCATCATTTCATATTCAAATGAATTTAGCAATGCTTCTATTCATTGGATGAGCACAGAAACCTCCACATTCCTGAGTGATATACCATTATTTTACTGCAATGGATTCTGAAAAAACAGTAATGTTAACATCAACAAAGTGCTGTTCCCTCCCATTCCATGACATGTTTCAAATAAGCTTGCATTTATTTCAAAAGCCAAGAAAATCTCACCCACAGGTGGATCAAAGTTTTGTCTTAATGAGATACTTGTGGTCTCTCCTGCTGCCATACAGTAGACTGAATGTAAATGGTAAATGGACCT